CACCAGCCTGCCCCCTGCTCCTGCCTTCTCTCCTGGCAGGGATGACCGAGTGACTTGACCTGTGACCTCGAAACAATAAATGTGACCACCTCCAAACCCGTGTCTGCCTTGCCTGCTGGGGGCATGAATGGGGGATAAGGGTGGGCAGAGGGCGAAGGTGGAGAGGCAGCCGTCTGCAGGTCCTGCCCAGGCCTCTCACCCAGCACCCATGTTGGGGACAGAGGGACCTGGGGCCACTTCCACTCTAGGCTCCTCCCTCAGCCTCCCTGAGGCCCACTGGGGTTTGCTCCTGGGGCAGACTCGGGTATCAGATGGCACCCAGAGAGGGACAGCAGCCTGCCCAGGGCCACACAGCCCAAGACACCAGCACATAGAAAACCCAAAGCCTTAAGATTCTGAACTTTTATTTTCTGGCATGAAAAGTACAAATAATTAAACAATTCCATGTAAAAGTCTGTTACCGCGGCCAGGCCTTTAATCCCGGTAATAAATAATCTAAACGCAACGCAAAGTGTTCTTGTTGGGTTTTTTTTTTGTTCTTTTTTTTTTTTTTTAGTCGTTTTTGTTTTTTTTTTTTTTTTTTTTAACATTTCTTTTATCATCTCCAACATGGACTCTGTCATGATTTGAAACCTTCTGAATAAATAACAGGAGGAAGGGAGGGCTGGAGGGGCTGAGCCCCCTCCCCACTGGTCCTGCCTCTGACTCTCGGGATGCAGAAGACCCCAGAAGGGGTCCCCCTTCCCTGGGAGCCCTGGCCTGGCTCCCCTGGGGTGAGGCACAGACCTCCAGGGAGGGGAGGGGGCCTGGCTGGGCTGAGTTTAGTGTTTTAGAAAAAGAAGTCCCCTCCCAGTCTTCCGGGTGGCAGGGACCTAGGCCTCGGTGGGGGTGTGTGTGGGGAGGTGCCCCCTTTCCAGAGCCTGGCCCCCCCACCCAGGGTCGGGGACAAACCCAGTCCTTATTGCTCAGTTGCTCCTCCACGCTTCCCCCGTATGTACTTACGTGTTCAGCCTGTGGAGGGCGGAGGGGGGAGAGCCCCAAGAAACAGCAGGGGGAGGGGGGTCCCTGCCCTGCTGGAGGGGAGAAGGAGGAGAGCAGGGAGGACTTAAAACCACAAGAATAAATAGGTTCGTGTATCAAGAACAAGCTAGGGTTTTCACCAGCTAAATAGGACTGAAAAAATTCTCAAGACAGCAAAAAGAATCCCATTGAAATCCCGGATGGACGTCGCCGCCGGCCGCGGGGACTGTCCCACGGAGCACACGCCCTCCCCCCCGGGTGCCACTCGGCTACCATTACTGTTATTAATAATTATTATTACTTTAATGATTCCATTTCCCCTTTTATAAATAAATTAGGCATAACCACGTCTCAGCAAAACTTAAAGAAACAAAGAGAAACGTCGTTCCTTTAACTTGCAAACTGCATGAAAGAACAGAAATATGCACAAATGTTCTTACAGGGCAACGGGAAGAATAAATAGTTAACATAGCAATAAGTTAAAACTACAAGAAGCTAAATTCAAAAAAGTACAAGAAAGTTAACTGATGCCAGTTTGTCTTTTTTTTTTCTTTTTTTTTTTTTTTTAAATCTCTTCTGTGTGTTTCTTTTTTGTCGCTTTTTTTGTTTTGCTGTTTCGTTTGTGTGTTGTTGTTTTTTTTTGTTGTCGCTTTTTTTATTTTTATTTTTTTTTCTTTTTGTTCCTTGCAGCAGAAGCTCCACGTTTAAGAACACCGGGAGGGGTGGGGGAGAGAGAGCTGGACAGTCAGGTGGGGCCATGGCCAGACACCGAACGCGGGGACACCGGGAGAAGGCCACTATAGCTAGCGAGAGGGGGGGGAGGTTTGCAATTCTCCGTTCTGGGCCCGCTGACGGGAGGGGAGGGGGCGATGCCAGGGCTCCCAGAGGCTCTGGCCTTTGGCTTCTGTTGGAAATTTTTTTTTTTTTAATTTCTTTTTTTATTTTTTAAAGAATGAAAAGTAGAGCGGGACAGGGGATGCAAACTTCAGACAGAAGCCAGGGCCGGAGCTCAGAATGGGGGCTGTGTTCTCTGCCCTCACCCATCTGAAAAGACGAAAAACCCAACAAACCAAAAAGGGGTGACGAGTGGGTGGGAAGAGGGTGCAGGGCTGAGCCCCGAGACCCATCCACCCTGGGCCTGGCGTGGGGACTGCTGGGTGCTTGGGAGGCCCGGCCCTGCTGGGGGAGGCTCAGGGCTGGGTCCTCCCCGCGGCTTGGTGGGCTAGGGCCTCGGCCCAAGGAGGCTGCGCCCCGGGGGCAGGTTTGGCCTCAAGTGTTGGGGGGGGGGGGCTGCCTCCAGCCCACCGCGACGCCAAAGTGGAACGAGGTATCGTGTGTCCTGATGCATGGAGGCCGGGTGCGCACGCGTGCGTTTGTGGGTAACAGGGAGACCACTGAGGACCCAGGAGGGGGCTCGGCCTGTGGGGCTGGGCCAGTCTGGCTGGACAAAGTGACCGTGTTGGAGTCTAGGGTGGGACCTCCTGCCCGGGCCCGTGGAGTGCTATGGGCATGTCTGTGTGTCCCTGGGTGTCGTTTGTGTGTCTCTGCGGTTGTGTGTCCAGGTTAACCGGTCAGAATGCATGAACCTGCAATTTACATGAGTCCACGTGGACGTATTTGCGGGGCCACACGTGGGCGTGTCTGTCTCCATCCGTGTCCGTCTTCCCTGGTGGCCACGCCTAGCCCCTGTCCACATTTAAGTCGCCCCCAAACCTGTCTCCTCCTTTCTCTGTGTCTCTCCCCACCCACGTGTCTCAGTTTGGCTGCTGAGTGTCTAAACGTGTCTGGGGCACGTGTCTCCGCGTCTGTCCCGCCGTGTGGCCCTTGGCCGTGAGCGCGTGTCCTCGCGTGGCTTTGTGTGGCGGTGTTTTCCGTGGCCCCGTGGACTCCCGACCCCTCAAGCCCTGCGCCCTGCCCCCCCCTGCCTAAGTTGGTAAACATAACCTTCCAAAATATTTTCTTTTTTTTTTCTTTTTTTGTGTTTTTTTTTTTCAAGTTCAAGAATCCCCAGTAAAAATTCTCCACGAGGTCTTTTTCCCTTTTTACAAAAATAGA